CATAAGGCGCGCTGTCAACTTTTGAGAAAATGAAGGGATTTTAGGCCGTGCAGCCCCTGTGGGCTGTCGTTAGCATGGTTAGCTCGTTAGCGCGGTTAGCTCGTTAACACGTTGACGCCGTCCAGCCCCACAACTCGCTAACGGAGATTTGCCGTGTCTATCTTGTCGCTGCCTGCAGGTGAAGCTATGGGGGAGGAGGGGGAGTTGTGTTCAGTGAAGGAGAGGCGAGGCCCAGTAACGTTGCGTAGAGACAAAAGTGGACGAAAGAGAGGCAAACTTGTGGCTCCACAAGTATAATTATAACGTAACATAGACTATATTGATATAAAGGATATTGTCACATCTTATATCTCGTATGAAAATATATCGATATTTTTTAAAAACTCGATATATCGCCCAGCTCTAGTAGTTATTACTATATTCTAATATATGTTTTAGTTACAGTAGTTTTGATCATATTATTATTATGCCTGTATATAATAACGGTACATTGAATTAGATGTACAGTATTAATAACAATGTTAACTGTCAAATCTTTCATTCTGAAGTGCACCACACATATGTTATTATTTAAAAAGTAGCAGTAATCCTGTAAGTATCTATTTTATAATAAAAATGAAACTCATGATTTTGTGTTTTGTTCCTTCTGTTCTCAGAGGAGCGCAGTCTCAGCGGCCTGTGTCAGTGTCTCGTGGAGCTCTCCACGCAGCCAATCACCGTGTGTCACGGCTTCGCCCCAAACGTAGACGGCGCCCGAGCCAACGCGGCCCACAATGCACTGCAGTACCTCAAAATCATGGCAGGAGGGAAATGACGAGCGTGTCAGCCCCCCCTCCCTCACAGACTTGAACTCACCACTACAAAATGCCATCATAAATTTCTACTTTGGATGACGGAGGCACTTTTGTGATGAACTCAAATAACATGAATTACCTCAAATTTAGAAATGAAGACTCTTTATGCCCCGAGATTTTTTTAAAAGTCCTATTGATGATGCCAATGAAGATTTAGTTGCCCCCCCCCAAAAAAAACCTCACTTGACATTTACAATATTTATCACTAATTATGTATTTTTACTTTTTTATATCACCCTAGTTGTTTTCATCTGAATTTATAAATGGTGCTATCGTGGTAAACTCAACGTTGCAAATAACTTGAGATAAAATTCTGATGCCGTGAAACGACCAGGGCGTGAAAGGGGTCTGAAGAAAATGGAGTGGAGTCATCCGTTCACTGCTGCTTTGTTAAATCCCTGT